TTTTTAAGAAAATTAAATGAATAAATCTTTGATGTGGTAGTAGCTAAGAGTCATTCACAATGCATACTCTGAGGTTGACATCTCATGATATCGCAAGATTGTGCTCAACATTAGTTTCAAAGTTGAACCAAAACGGCTACAACTCAGCTGAACTCTAGATGTTCTTGGTTTGAAGATCTGTCATAAAATGCGGCAGGTGGTATGCATTCCTTTGAGTTTCCTGATGTCTTCTCCCTGATGGTATCTCAATTAGATAAATATAGAGATGTTTTGTTCTTTTTTATTCTATCATTAACAGTTTTTTACTTTCCCAATGTMGCAAAGTCAGAAGTGTTGAGGAAATAAAATGCAGTGTATTTCAAAATCAGTGRTTACAGAACAGGTATTCTSTATGTTAMAATGAGATTTYTTGTTCCTTTATTACAAGAGACACRATTTACACTGAAGTTAGTAAGGGATAAGAAGTGTCATTTTCCAATATTTCCTCTGACGTATAACTTTGGATTTTGAGCTCATTTTAGTTGATGTCACTCTGACTTTTTAAAGTCATTTCAGGGGGATTATTTGTGTTGCTGAGGTTTGCGTACTAAAAGATGCCTCCTGTTTTCAGTGAAACTGAGCGTATCTGTTTATATAAATCCAGCTTTAGAAAGTAGTTCAGTCTTATTGCCTAAAACCATGTTGTTGTAACTCTTGGCAGAAACTTGGTGGAGCTAAAATAGAAACAGTGAGGTGCTGTAAGTACACTATCCAGGGTCTCGGAGGCAAAGCAGCTGTTAATATTCAAAGGAAACTACAGAGTGCAGGTTTTTTCCTTTTCCCCAAAAACCCTCAATATTGTTTTATCTTTTATGAAGAGATATGACAAAAAGTATACAGTAGATCTAAGCAAAAGGCTTGTGCTGTGTGAATTTATATTAGTAAATAAAGACGGACACATTCAATGATATTATTTTAAAAAATAGAAGTGTATTGCACTTTGAATGTGTAGAGTGTACATCTACACTACATGTTAGATTTGCTTGTTAAACTATCCACTAAGAAAAATGACTTTGGTTTTGCAAGATTGAGTGTCACTAAATTACAATTTTATGCCACTGCAATAAGTAGATCTGAAGCTTCTTTGATCTAAAGCTGTCAGTGTTAAAGTGAACCATATGTCTTGGTCATTAATCTAATAGTCCTGTGGATATTTCAGTTTTGATAAAGTGAAGGACTGACCGACTTACTTTGCCTTCTGTAACCACACATTTCCCCCTCATTCCATGCCCGAACGTCTGTATTTCTTACTCCGTTGTGGGGGGATGAGATATGGATGTGCATGTTAYCCTTACCTTGAAGCCGTTCTGAGCTGGAAGCTCATCCATCCGTCATCAGGCAGCTCCACCACAGCTGGTGACTGGGGGAAATTGTTCTGCACCCTCGATATAGATGACTCTTCATTAGAACACGTTCCAGTCAGCGTACTGATTACACCTCTAACTGAGATCTAAATAAGCCTGGGTTTCGACTCGTCTCCCTTTGCTCCCTCTCATTYTCTGCCCGGTGGTCTCGCACCCCTGCTGTTCCCTCATCTCCGCTTAAATCAGGCCCGCTGCACCACTGATGGGACTTTCAATATCCTAGCCGGGTTCAAATAACGGAGCCATCTCTTTACACATCCTCCACCTGCGTGATCAATTTGATTCATATCACAGGCAGAGTGTGTACACTGAGGCCCGTGTTGCCTTTGAGTTCAGGCCACAATGCCCACCAAGATCAAAATAATACTTCAGGCTTTATGTCTGCTCGCTGCAAAAGTGACAACAAATAAAAGCTTCACTGATGCTTTTATTTTCCCTCAGGTTAAACTTTCATCTGGTTCTCATTGCATTACTTCAGTCAGTGCTTGGAAGGAGCAGTGGCTCCCATCAACCGTGTCAACACTGTCTTGTACTGCTTTGTTTGCTGTCAGCACAGGGACACAAACAGTGTTGTTTGTTTCTTATGTTTAATTGAATCTGGACACCAGAAACAATATTAAATACTTGAGTTTGCTGTTGTCAGAAAAAAAAATTCAACTCAGTTTTTAGGATTGTCCTGTTTGTTGCTTTTTTTTTTCTTTGACACATATTTTCCTGTCCTGTGTTGGACCTGCTGATGTCAGTCTGTCATCATATCATTCCCCTCAGTGTGCTGCAGCGTTGAATAAAAAATATCCCCAAGGAAAACTGACCAATCAGAGAAGACCTTATGGTTTTAACTATTCAGTTCACGACTTAGTTTTTCCTGTTTAAGTGCAGACTCAAGGACATTGTTTCAGTGTCTTACATCATTATGTTAATGAGGTTCAGTTGATTGTGATAAGTAATGATACTCTKTCTTTATTATATTCAACAGGGAAATTACATTACAGCAATTTTCTCATTTCAAACAAAAAAAAATGTAATYGGGTATAAATTTATGCATTGTTGTAATGTTTCATACTTAATTTTTAACTCATTTAGCACCTAAGAATTCTTTAATTGACTTTTAGGATACATTTTTATCTTTAATTCAGAGGAGAATTGATTGGTTTTAGTTAACTGAAAACCCCACCTTAACTCAAACAAACGTTATTTCAAGACTGCAAAAAGTTTACAACCTTGTAGGCCTCTAGTATAAAAACTTGTTAAACTGGTTTCAACGAGAAGACACTGAACCCTATTATGTCACTGGTTTCTCTGGTCTTAAGGTCTTAATGTAGCTGAACACCCGAGGATGTGTCAACACCAGAGATTAACATTATGAATTTGAAGCTTATCTGTCTGTCTGCCTGTCAATATATATAC